ACTCTGACTATTGTACATCCTAGAAGCAAAGATGAGAGGGGAAATCTTGGGGGCATTGACAATGGCTCTCAGTTCCAGAGGTCAGAAGGCTTAAGGCAGTAGTGTGGGCTAGATAGTGAGAGATTCTTGAGTCTGCTGGGACTCACCCAACGGCCCACATTTTCAGGCTTAATCTGTCATCATTTATACAAACCTGGGTGAACCAAGGACACCAGTTTGTCCCACTCAGAATTCCTCAGTGATCTTCTTATGTGGGAATAATCAGTGCTTGCTGCCCCTCCCCGCAACAATGAAAAATATTTATTATTTATTTATTTATTTATTTATTTATTTATTTATTTATTTATTTATTTATTTATTTATTTATTTATTATATTAATGGTGTGTGTGTGTGTATGCGTGTGCACATGCGTGTATGCACACAGGTACATGCATGCTCTGGCATGTGTGGTGGTCAGAGAACAACTTGAGTCAGTTCTTTCCTCCTGCTGTGAGATCCGGGTCTTGAACTCAAGTCTTCAGGCTTGTGCAGAAACAAACTTTACTTCTGAAGTCTTCTTGCGAGCCCCCTTCAAGAGTTTATATGAGAACTGAAGAATCGTGCCTAAGCAGGGGTTTTTGACAGCATGTAAAGATGAAGATTAACGCTGCCTCTTGCCTCGTGCTGAGGGACCAGCGTCATCAGGACTCCACCTTCTTTTGCTGTTCTCTCTCACCAAGACCTGGGTGTAGTGTAATTTATCACTGACTCTCCGAGGTATGTCCTAAGGTGCATTGCCAGGGCCACAAGGATGTCACAGTTCCTTCCTCATGTTCCGTCTCCCTCCTGCCTGGCTCTGTCATTTTGCTTCGCAGGAGCAGCTCTGCCCGAGCCTGCTTCCATCCCACTGGCTGATCTGTCCCTCTATAAGGACTCTGTGCTGCCCACAGAGGCATCTTTACCCCTGTCTCCCACCATTCATCAGCTACACCCTTCCCTTTCCTCCCCTTTCGCAGAGCCTTCGCCCATCACAGCATCTGCAAAGTGCCCCAGAATCCATTCACGGTGGCCCTGCCTGCCCCACCCGTCCCTAGCTGCGACACCTCAGATTGCTATGTGCATTTGCCTGCTTTTCCCAGCTGTCATCCAGACAAGGCGTGTCTCCTAAAGAAAGATTACAGATTTGTTGAAGATGTGGACAATGCTCTTTTCCCCCGCCTGCCTTTTCCACAGCAAAAAAAGATAGGTGTCATGTAAATATAATAAGGTACTATAAACAGTGTTTAGAAAGGGAATACAAAGGAAAATGTGAGACATTGAGGAGTTCACCCTATGGGGACTGTGACAAGAAAGAAAAGAAAAGGAAAGAAGAGAAAGAGAGAGAGAGAGAGGGAGAGAGAGCGAGAAAGAAAGAAAGAAAGAAAGAGAGAGAGAGAGAGAGAGAGAGAGAGAGAGAGAGAAAGAAAGAAAGAAAGAAAGAAAGAAAGAAAGAAAGAAAGAAAGAAAGAAAGAAGAAAGGAAGGAAGGAAGGAAGGAAGGAAGAAAGAAAGAAAGAAAGAAAGAAAGAAAGAAAGAAAGAAAGAAAGAAAGAAAGAAAGAAAGAAAGAAAGAATTGGTTTGGAAAGTCAGTGAGTGGAATGCTATTCAGCTTTTTTATGTTAGATAACTAATCCTAGTATTTATTTATGGACTCATATATCATGTAAGTAAAATGTATGTCACCAAAAAAAGGTGGGAGAGAATGGTAGTGAGAAGATTCTAGTAGTTTAAAGTCATCACAGCATCATTTCTCACGTTTGAGAAGAAAAATATATGATGGGTTGTCAAGATGGCTCAGAGGGTAAGACACTTCCTGCCAAGCCTGATGACCTGAGTTCCATTCTTGGGACTTACACAGTGGAAGGAGAGAACTGACTCCAGCAAGTTGTCACTGGACTGTCATACATGTGCCATAACATGGGTGTGCACACAACAGATAAATGTAACTTTTTTAAAACACCATTCACTGAAATACACTGAAGTCACTTTAGACACCATCAAAATCATTCCAATAGTCTGCCGGCCACCAGCCAGCAGCAGTCACCTACTAGATAGGTCACGTCGGGAAGCCTACCCCTGTTCTATTACTAGGTTTGAATGTTTGTCACTGTGGTTGTGACTACTCCTTTACTATGGAAAAGTGATGTTTTGGGGGTGTCATACTGAGTGTTTGAAAAGGATCCTAGGGCGATGAATTCTAGTGCTCAGGTTGTGTGTAAAACAAGGGTCTGCACTCAGCAGTGCAGCTAAAGTATGGGCAGATACCTGCGTTTTGTGTTTCGACAGGAAGGTTTACTTTATATCACCATTTCAGAGGTTCCCACATGGCAGGTGAGAATGACAGACAGTTGTATACATAGAACTATCCCGGCATGCATGCCATGGTGCATTTATTTACTTGTTTTTTACTTTTGTGTTGGGAGAAACCTACAAAATAAAAAAAAATGCACCCTAAACACATACATTTTGGAGGGAATGAGTTCAGAAAACACCCCCATCCTTCATGCGCACACAAGGGATGGAAGGAGAGGAAGTGAGAGGGGAAGGGAGGAAGAGGGAGAGGAAAAGGGGGGGAGAGACTGTGATGTCCTATTTGATGGCTGAAAGACGGCTTCAAACCTGGCACAATGTTCGCCTAAGGACAATAAAGTAACGGATTCAGCTTCCGGATCCACAGTGACCACACCATGGAAACCACCCAATCTTGAAAGGAACTGGAGCTGTGTCTGACACCCATAGTGGGATTTCTTCTGGGAATCCTTCTGAGAGGAGCCACTGTGCCCTGAGGCAGATGATGCCTTCCACACAGTCGTGGCAATAGTTGTTACCAGAGCAAACAGGGCCTTCGCTTCAAACCTTGCAAACTAGAGACAAAAAGATAATTCTTGCAGGCACACAAGCTGTGAGCTCATTGGCGGCCTGGGGTGACCCAAGGCCAGCTTCTCAGAGGGCGCTTTGTCTGATAAGACATCCTGCAGTGGTGGACATGTCTGTTCACTGTGTGATGTGGTTGTCAACTGTCACATGTGACCATGAGGTCCTCACCCTGTAGCCTGTGTGATGAAGAACAGAGAAGTTCAGCTCTGACCTAACCTCACATAAGTGTGGCTATGTGGCTAAAGTGATGGGCAGGGGGCTGCAGGCAACATGTCTCAAGTGTACATCCTAGGGATGCTTTCAGGGATGCAGGAGCTAACTCTGCTCTGAAAACATCTGGGGCTGCTGAGCAATGCATGGGATGGACGGTCCAAAGGTTAATCACAGGGCATGACCCAGAGGCCTTTGAGAGACTTTACTCCACACCATGCTTATTGCTTACTTAATGTCATTTTTTATTTGTTTGTTTGAGATAGAGCCTGTCCTGGAACCTGTAGCCCAGGCTGGCCTTGAGCTTGCCACAATCCTGCCTCCACCACCTGAGTGTTGAGATTACACGTATGAATTACCACACCTCACCTGGGTTATTTACTTTTCCTTTCAGATTAACTCTGTGTGTCCTTTGTTGCCTTGACAGACACCTTTGACTTGGTCATTTATAAAATACTGAAGCTGATTTGGCTCACAGTACTGGCGGGGTGTGGGGAGAGGAGTCCCCGAGAACACTAAGCTGAGAGGGAAATGGAGCCAGAACTCGGCACTGGTCTGCCCGACACTGGCATGGGAGTGAGAACTTTTGTCACGCAGCATGGCAGAAGGGCAAAAAAGTATTCAGAGGAAAGAAAGAATCAAATCAGCCATACTGTTAGTGCTCAACAGTTTTTTGTCACCTCCAGAGAAGCTCGAGTCCCCTGGGAAGAGGGACTCTCAGCTGAGAAAATGCCTCCGTCAGACTGGCTTCTAAGCAAGTCTGTGGGGGATCTTCTTTTTTTGTTTTTGTTTTGTTTTGTTTGTTTGTTTGTTTGTTTTTGGTTTTTCGAGACAGGGTTTCTCTGTGTAGCTTTGCGCCTTTCCTGGAACTCACTTGGTAGCCCAGACTGGCCTCGAACTCACAGAGATGCACCTGGCTCTGCTTCCCGAGTGCTGGGATTAAAGGCGTGCGCCACCACCGTCCAGTGGGATCTTCTTAATTGATGGTTGATACTGGAAGGCCCAGGAGAGGGCAGTGTCACCCCTGGGTGAGTGGCCCTGGGTTGTATAAACAGGCCAGAGCTGCAGAGCAAGCCAGGGAGCAGCATTTTTCTATGGCCCCTGCCTCAGTTCCTGCTCCTACGTTCCCATTTCGAGCTCCCGCCCTGAATTCCCTCAGTAATGGAGTGTGATCTTGGAAGACGAAATAAACCCTTTACACCCCAAGTTGCTTTTGGTCAATGTCTTTGATACAAAGCAAACTAGGGCGCTGTTATTCAGTACTGGGAATTGAACTCAGGGAGTTTTTGCATGCAGAACACTGGCTCTACCACTGAGCAACATCCCCAGTCCCAAACTCACCTTTTTATCAGTAACCTACTCCTTAACTAACCCATTCATCAATAGCAGTATAAAATCATTCAAGAGGGTAGATCTCTCACGACCTATAAGGCCTCACCTCTCAGTACTGTTCCCACAGCCATGAACTTCAACATGAGCTTTGGAGAAAAACCTTCAAGTCATGGCAGAAATTATTATCTATGTCTTCATGCTTTGATCTTTTTATGCTTTCTAGACATCTGCATCATTTTAATACTTCTTTTAGAAATTATCAATACATTTCACTTCCTTTTACATTCAACACTTGGGATGCCTCTTTTTGAGAAAAAAAAACCCCACAAAACGCACACATTCTGGGTGTGATCTTAATAAGGCCTTCAGTACATTTTTGAAATCTTCTGCATGTACCCTTTTTATACTTCCCATTCTCACTGATGGATTATTTCTTCAAGTGGAAACGGTCCAGAGAGAAGCTGCCCACTATCTTAGGGACCCTTTGGAGGCCCCCATTCGTGTTCTGAGGTGATAAGCGCAAACATGGGACTTGGAACAAGGAACAAAAGGTTTCTCTCACCTGCTCCAGGAAGGTCAAGGTGGAGCTGTGGAGTAGACACAGAGTGAGGGAGTCACTGGGGAGAGAAAGGACTCTTGGGTTTCCACTCGAGAGGCATCAGAGTGTATTGTAAAGTCTTCTCATGAATGTGACTGCTAATCTTCATGATCAGCTTAGCTAGTTCTAGAATCCATCTAGGAGACACCTCTGTGGGTTACCTGTGGGAGTGTTTCCAGAGAGGCTTAAATGAGGAGGGGAGAATCAATCTAGTAGAGAATTAGATGATTCCAGCCATCATATACTGCTGGATTTGTGTTGGTCCATGAGATAAGGTTGCCATGGCAATGAACCACATACCTTCTAGAGGATGTGGTCCTCACTCTTTCCTAACTTACCATTTCTTCTGTTCTTCCAAGGGCCTGTCTTCCACCTTCCATGGACTCTTTCAGAGATCAGTGGAAACTCAGGGTCTCTCAGGTCTCCTTCTGTTTTCCAGGTGCATTTACCCCCTTGAGGTAGCCATCCCTACTTCTCCTCACCTCATTGCCCCATTCACCACAGTGAGAATGCTACCTTGCTTCTCTATAAGATTAGTTGATGGAGCTGTAAGCTAGATTCCCCTGCTTGTTACTCCTAGAGATCCTACACCATTAAAGATCCCATTTCTCTCCTGGACCTTCGGGTATGTTCTTCCTTGTCTTTTCCCCTCATTCTCTGCATTTAAGCATCTTAAGACCCGTCCACTGTGTTAGTTGCTCTTCTTAGTGCTATGACAAAATAACAGAAGTGACTGCATGGAGGAAAGTTTTATTTTGGCTCAGGGTTTGAGGAGTGACAACTCACCATGGTATAGAAGGAATAAAGGCACGAAGTGGCAGGAAGTGGCAGGAAGTGGAGAGTGCTAGGCGCTGGGGCTTCACTTGCTTTCTTCCTTCCCCTATCTAATTCAGCCTGGGGCCTCAGCTCAAGAGATGACGCCACCCACAAGTTGAAGTTGGTTTTCTCTTCTCCGTTAAACCTCTCCGGAAACACTGTCACAGATGTTGAAGGTTGTTGTCTTCTGGGTGACTCTAAAACTAGTCAAGCTAACAATGAGGATTAACAATGAGAAGGATTATATATAATATATATTATATATTAAAGTGAACTTTAAGCACGCCTTCCATTTCTCTCCTCCTGCTCTCTGGTTCCAAGCTTCTTCAAACAGTGACGACCGATCATAACATCTCTCCCTCACTCCACTCCCTTCACTGGTACAATTACCACCTGTACCCACTTCTGCACTCAAACTTCTGTCTCAATAAAAATAACCAGTGTCCAGTTGCTAGCTACCTCTTGCTATCTTTATCTTACCTGATTCCCAGAAATGCTTCTTTTTCTGTATATGCTCCTCTTGAGGATGCTCAGCCAAGACACTCAGGAAGGAGCATCCTTACCTGCTGTTATGGACACTGGTTGGTCCCCTCCAAGCATGTTGTTCTTTCTTTATAACATTGCTCTGAAACATCTAGTCTCATAGTTTAGATGAGAGGAACCCGATTCTGTCTCCAGAGCAGGCTCTTGATTTTCTTCACCTAATTAGTACACCTCATCTCCCTGGCTTCAGTGATTGGTTTGGGCTCAGTAAATAATCCCAACCCAGGCCACTCACTAAGATCTAATCCCCAAACTTAAATTGAGCTGTGAGAGGAATGGACTTGTTGCTCACCTGATAGAAAGTATAGTAGTAAGGTAGTTATCTTGGAAACAAGCAATAAAGGGGTACACTTGAAGGTAGAGTCATCAGCAAGGACGGGAGGACTGGAGAGAAGCAGAAAGAAAAATATGCACCCTGGATAAACTGGCACTAAAGTGCTGAGTCAAACCATTCCTGAAGACCTGTCCTCAACCTGCTCAGCTTTCTTAGCCTCTTTGCGTCTCTCTGCCCCTCCCTTCTCTTTCCTTAAGCCATTTGAAGTCACACTGGTCACCAGAAAGTGTTCTGACAGCTTCTTCATCCAAATCACTTCTCTAGATAGTCACAATATTTTGTAGGTTTCTGTATTTAAGCTATTTTGTTTTATTTTTGCAGTAATGAAGATGGAGCCCATGGCTTCACATCTATCAGATGAGTGCTATACTGCTGAATTACACTCCCATCTCATTTGAAATCTTTAATGAGACATTGTTTCATGAATGCCATGACTAAGCTCAGTCCTAATGGCATGACAAGGGGGCAGTTCTGAGATGCCTAATAAGATGTCATGGTAGGAAGGCTCACAGATGACTGCTTCAGCTGCTTGTTGATGTCATTGGATTCCAAGCTTCTCCCTGTCTCTTGGCTATGACATCATCAATATTGGCTTACTCATCCAGTCTGATGAGAACATGGATACAGCAATGACTCATCCTCATCGTGCTGTGACATCTAGAGAGCACAGAGGAAGCGAGTTCCCTATGGCTTTTTCTCACTAAAGACATGGCTCCTTGAAGACCTCCAGCAGGCATCCTCTCAGATGTCCTCTGCTGGCACTGGGTCACACACAAGTTCTTGAATGAGATCTCCTGGAGCAGAGGGCTTCCTTTCAGGCACATGGCTCTGCAGAAGGCAGTTCTGTCTGGAAAATAAGGAGAAGGCCAATCAGGGTTCACCACACCTGGCTTTAGGTGGCCTCATGACCTGGCTCCTGCAGAGTCCCCTGGATTCTCTTTCACCACTCACCTCTTTGGACTTTACCCTCCAGCTCACCCCTAATTTTTGGGTTTTGTTCATTAGTTTGAGCATGCTATATACTCACTTATGCAGCTAAACCTCAAAGTGTGGGTGTTTTTATTTATGAGACTCTTCAGTCACCATACCTATTACTCACTATGCCTCTTGTTATCTGGTGACTTTCTCTGATAACTCTTCTCTCAGCTGCAGGTCCCAGGTAGGGGACCACCTCCTAACACATGGTCTCCTTCCCATTGAAGACTGTGTACTACATTGTGTGGTGATTATCTCTTTACTTGTTTCCAGTTAGACTTTGATCTCGAGTTCAGGGCTTCTGGCTTAGTCTGGGGTATTATATAATGACCTAGGCATTTTCCATTTCCCCAGTGGTCCTGGGAAGGCAGATCATCCCTCCAGCCCCCCCCCCCACTTCCTTCTAGTGACACCTCACAGTAGTTTCTTTAAGTCAATTTCATTCACTCTGTTGGAAGACTCAAGTAGGTTCTCTACAGAATCAGGAGAGCTATTCAACAAAATTGAATAGAAATTCATGGTGGGGGTAAAAAAAAAATAAAAGAAACCTTTCTAAGGAAGGAAGAGCTCCCCAATCTGTCAATGGCAATGGTGTCAAACAAAACCCAATGATAAAAAGGTTGAGTGATTTACCTCTAGGATTAGCACAGAATTTGTACAACTGTTAATGCAACAGGGCAGCGAAATGAAATAAAATAAAAAGACTTTGTGAGTTAAACTCCTCAAGTTTAGTAAAATTCCTAAGATGCTTCTGTCAAGTCAATAATTCAATATATCTTTTTGACCAAGTCTTTTAAAGATTTATTTATTTTTATTTTATGTATATGAGTATTTTGTCTGCATGGATGCATGTACATCATGTACATGCCTGGTGCCTGAGGAGGCAAGAATAAGGTATTGGATTCCCTAGAACTGGTGTTACAGATAGTTGTGAGCCACCATGTGGGTGCAAGGAACTGAACCAGGTCCTCTGCAAGAACATCAAGTGCTCGTTAACTACTGAGCCACTTCTCCAATCCTGACAGAGTACTTCTAACATTAACTTACTTATTTATCATTTATATACTATAAAACATACTGGTTTCAAGTATGCCAATGTATGAATTTTGACTGACTTAAATACCCACGGCCACAATCGAGATGTAGCACTCCCAATATCTTCTCAAGCCACTCTCCAGACGATGCCCTCACTCTGGGAGCAGGAACAGCTGACTTATGTTTGCTTGATTCATGACTTCATAAAAATGGAAACGTTGTGATTTTTAGAAACATTTTCTTAAGTCTTCTGACCACTTTTATTTTTTAAAGATTTAGTATGTTTTATTTTGATTTATGTATATGAATGTTTTGACTGTTTATATGTATGCACACCACACATACACCTGGTGTCCATACAGGCCAGAAGAGGGTATTGGATCTACTGGAACTGGAGTTAGAGAGGGTTGTGAACAGCCACTTGGGTCCTGGGAACTGAACCTGGGCCTCTGGAAGAGCAGCAGTGATCTTAGGCGCTGAGCCGTCTCTCCAGCCCTTTAATCATACAGCTTCCTCATTTAGTTGTAAGATTTCAATTACATCTATGTTTGAATATGAGTCCTTTGCCAGATACTCATGCTGTGTATATTTTCTGAGTCTGTGACACACTTTTCATTTAATTACCAGTTTTTTTTTTTGAAGAGCACCAAGTTTTAACTTTTGATTTTTATGAAGCTTGATGTCTCAGTTTTTCTTTTCATGGCTTGTATCTTTTTGTGTAAGTTGTAAGAATTTTCTCATTTTCTTCTTGAAAGTTGCACAGTTTTGAAGGCATGAGATAAATGTGAAGATTTATAGATATCCAGTTATCTTGGGTCCATTTGTTGAGAAAACTATATTTTCCCCATTGAGTTACGTTGGTATCTTTGTTGCAGATCTATTAAGAATATGGAAATGAGTTGACTTCTGGACTTCTATGAAGCTGTATGTCTTTCCTTATGTTAACACTGGCACTTAGCACATGGTAATGTAAATCCTAAAACCAGTTCTTTGGGGGACTTTTAAAGCTATTTTAGGCCCTTTATGTTTTCTCATAAGTTCAAGCTGATTTTAGAGCCAATCTGAGATTATGTTGAGTGTTCTGATCAGTTTGGGAAGAATTTACAGTCTAGTAGGATAGAATCCTCCAGTCCATGATCATGGTATACCTTTCCATGGTAGATCTTTCTTCATTTAACTCAAGGATGCATTATAATCTTCCATGCACAAGTTTTATATGTAACACAAATTATTACATGAATCTGTTTGATATGTCTTTGTTTTATTATAAAGGGTAAAGATATATTGATTTTTACATTTTTACACTGAACCTGTAGGCTTACTAAATTCACTTAATAGTTTCAGTAGATTTTTAATGCATATTTCCTTGGATTTCCCACATCTACAATCATACTATCTCCAAATAATGGCAATTTTCCTTCATCCTTTCCAGCCCATATGTCTTTTATTTCTTTTTGCGGCACTGTCTAGGACCTCTAATGCACTGTTAAGTAAGCAGTGGGAACATATTCACGCCTTGTTCCAGAGAGAAAGCATTCAGCCTTTTCAAGTGTGGCATTCGCTGTTGGGTGTTTTTCTAGATGTCATTAATCAGGTGAAGTTCTTTCTCATACTGGAAAGGCTTCCTTTGCTTTGTTTTATCATGAACACATGCTTGAATTTTGTCAAACAGCTTTTCTAACTGCACAGTCTCCTGTGAGTTCCCCAAGAGAAAACTGCATTGGCTCCTTTTAGAAGATGGAGGGACTCCACCCATAGACTTTGAGCTCACACCATGTGGTTATCATTGAGCAGCAGAATTAAAGAAGGAGCCCTGCAGGTGCTTGGTGATCTTTCCTCGCTGTAGCTTCTTCTTCTCTAATGCTTCCCCTCATGGTTTTTGGTCATCTTTGCCTCAGCAGAGCCCTGTCTCAGGCTCAGTGAGATCTGCAGACTTTGCTTGGGTTCTTCCTCTCTGTATGGTTTCTGGAAAGTGCCAGTAGGAAGAAACACAGACTTAACGTAAGATTCATTTTATCTCCTTCTAAAAGAACACAGCTGCCCAGTGCATTTATGTCTATATCACATAATAAATATACCACTAAATATACATATAAAATACATGTTTATAAATAACAAGTTCACATATTTAGTATATGTTGAAATAGTCCTGTATCACTTATTATGAGATAGTTGAATGTTAAAAGTACCAGTAACAGCTCCTGATGACAAGGATTGTATTTTCTTTTTCTTCTGGTTCTTGAGTATCTAGGAAATGTTTCATCCCAGTGAGTGTAAATTAGAGGTTCATTTAAAGTCGTGGTTTTCCTGAGCTACTGGACTTTTTGTTTTGGAAGATGATGTTTTGGTGAGCATGAACTTGGTACCTGGCACTGACCAGAATTTGATTTCTCACAATAGCCTGTGATACAGGCACTGCATTTTACACACACAAACTCTCATCTCCTTCTTGGTAAACAAGGGATGGAAATATTAAACGTTTATGTAACTAGGATGGCTGATGTTGGTTGTCAATTTGACATGCCTGGAAAGGACTTCAACTGAGGACTTGCCTTCATCAGGTTGACCAGTGGCCGTGTCTGTGGGGGCACTTTCCTGATCGCTGACTGATGTGAAGGGAGGGCCACAGCCCACTGCGGGTGGTGCCATCTCTAAACTGCGGGTGGTGCCATCTCTAAACAGTTGGACCTGAGTTGTCTAAGAACAGTAGCTGAGAACACCAGAGGGAACAAGCCAATGAGCAGCAATCCTCTATGCTTTCTGCTTTAAACCCCTGCCTGGAGTTCCTGCCCTGATGACGGACCGTCATCTGTAAGCCAAATGAACCCTTGCCTCCACACGTAGCTCTCCTTCATGGCCCATGGGACTCGAGGGCCTGGAACAACGCAGTCACCAATGCTAGCAGAAGAGAAACATCTAGGATTGCTGTGGCCAGACAGGTTGCTCCCCATCATCTTAGACTCAGTGACTCCCAAGCTTTTCTTTTTGACTCCTAGGAATTCCATATGACGGTCAACAGTTCCACCTTGGCCCTGTCTAGAGGTACTTCTGAAAGCCGTGCAGATAGATGAAGCCCAAAGAGCCTGGTGATTCCCTTACTGTGGCACTGCCCTCTGCAGGGTGGGGGTGAGTCCTCATGGACACCCCTTCCTGGTAAGACAACTTCTTTGTTTTGTTTTGTTTTTGTTTTTCGAGACAGGGTTTCTCTGCGTAGCTTTGCGCCTTTCCTGGAGCTCACTTGGTAGCCCAGGCTGGCCTCGAACTCACAGAGATCCGCCTGGCTCTGCCTCCCGAGTGCTGGGATTAAAGGCGTGCGCCACCACCACCCGGCAAGACAACTTCTTTACTGCCACTTGGTGGCATTTAGGAAAACAACCCAAGAAGGAGGCTATATTTAGAATTCGTTACACATTGTTTCATAAAAGATCACCAGGACTAATTCTGTGTCAACTCACATCCAAGTTTCTGTCAAACAAGCATGGACTGATCGCT